GCATGTGACCTGACCAGGAATCTACCTGGCAAACTTTCGCTTTGCGAGTTGATGCTCAACCAACTGAGCCACATCCGTCAGAGCTGATTGACTTTTTTTAACAGGTGAGAACATAGAGGCTCAGAAAAGACTAGAACCCAGGTCATTTAACTAAAAATTTGCACTATAAAATCCTTTCCCCACAGTGCTTGTGTACTTTTATCTATTGATTATTCAGAAAATATATATATTTTTTAACACCCATAATGTGTAGTGATATATGAAGAGGGTAATTGGAGTGGAGTCATAAACATGAATAATGTATAATTTTATCATGTGTGAATTTTTAACCCAATTAGAAAGGTTAAGACTCAGATTGAAAAATGATTTGATATTTGATTTATATAAAAATCTTGATCACCATGCCTAGCACATAGGAGATCCTGAAATATAAAAGAAAAATAACAACAACAAAATGGAATACAATGTGGTCAGTGCCACATAAATGTTGCAAACAATGTCTATGTTATTTCAAATCTGAGATTCAAATTCTGGTATCCTTATGTATGTGGGTGTCAACCTAGGTGTTTTTAAAATATGGTTAGTAATCTTTTTACGCTGAATATACAAAATTATATTTAAATTTTAACTATTGCTTCTTGGCTTTATAGTCTGCATAATATCCTTCATCTTTTCCCCACACCCTGCCTCAATAAAACAGTATATCAATCTCTGAATTAAGCATGAGATTGCCTGAAGTAATTTCCCAATGTCACCCATTACCTGTAGCTCATTAATTTATGAGTCACCTTGCAGTCTCTTTATTTCATCTTGGCATTTGGCAGCTGCATTGGCATCTAGTTACTATTAACCATACTTATACTTTACCTAAGAATTGGGCCATTTTTGTACTATTGTTGTGGCAGTGAAAGATCTGTAGAGTTCAAACATGAAATTGGGGAGCTGTCTCAAGTGACCTTTAAAACACTAACCTTAAGATTTTATATTCACAATAGGGATGAAAAAAAAGGACACATTTGAACATCATTTTGTAAAAATAATTCAGAAGCTATATTGATGATTTTAATTAAGAATAGAGAAAGGTGATCCAAGAATGACTCCAAGGCAGAAAGAACAAACATCATTCTAATTATCATGCAAAAGTAAAAAAAAAATTGGGAAGAAGGATATTTAAATTTTTTTAATGTAAGTGTTGTCATAAATGTATTCTGTATTATGTTACAAAAATAAATGTACTTTTTATTTGATCATATTGCCTTACTCTTAATTAAAAGACTTGGACTATCCACTCTGGATATAAACTAATTTGGCTGCTTTTCTGAAAATGATACCCACAGTAAAGTACAAAACTAAGTTTAAACAAAAAACAAATTACTTTATAGTAATTTATTGTCTTGCAAGTTTAAAAATGTTTTTAATTTTTAAATTTATTTTCATTTCAGTGGTAAAATTCGTGAACATTTTCTTCATATTATTTTCCTCATTTTATGTATTTATATAATTTGTATCTCAAAATTTGTAACCTTAGGAATGTAAGTCATTTAACCTCAGTGGTTTCTGTATTCTTGTTTATAATCAGGAGATTAATTTGAAGGACACTTATAGAAAGATCACATAGAATAAAATTCTCTAGTTTCATAGTTGTAAAAAGTAAGGCCCAAGTAGAGCAAATGACTGGTCAATTTTTCCTTAATTAATACTGAATAAGAAAGTAGGAAAGAGAGAGGTTAATGTAGTCTGTACCATGAATTGCAGAACTCTATTATTATATAGAATTGTTTTTCTGTCTAATAGGACAGTTGGCTTCTTTAGAAAAGTATTGTGTAGTCATCTCTCTGAAATCCAACAAAGTATTGGGTATACAAATACTTGCTGAAGTTTCATAATCCTTATTTATGAAAATAAAGTTATTTTATTAACCTTTACCTTATAATGGATTAATTTGGCAAATAAACATGAATATTAATTTTTTAAATTTATTTACAAAATATTTAGATAGTCCAGACCTGGTTGCTCAGTTGGTTACAATGTTGTTTCATTCTCTCTCTCTGTGTCTCTCTCAAATAAATAATAAATAAAAAATTTAAAAACCGAAATATTTAGAATTAGCTGAGGTTTGGCAGTAGAAACAGGAAAAATTGAGATAGATCATTATCCAATGAGAGGAAGGTAATGAACCTTCAAAGTGATGAATCTGCCCTTGCTAATTTAAGATTTTGGAGAGCAAGAATCATGTATCAGACAAAAGTAGAATGGTGTACTCGGGGAGAAGAGAATGGTGAGTTATTGTTTAATGGGTATGGAGTTTTGGCTTTGCAACATGTAAAGAGTTATGAGGATGGATGGTGGTGATAGCTGTACAACACTGTAAATATTTATACAATTTAACTGTACACTTAAAATGTTTATGATGATAAATTTTATGTTATGAGTATTTTCCCACAATAAAAATGTTTTTTAATTTTTAAAAAATATTTTATTTATTTATTTTTAAAGAGAGAAGGAGGGAGGAAGAGAGGGAGCGAAACATCAAATGGTTGCCTCTTGCATGCCCCCTACCAGGGACCTGGCCCACAATGCAGGCATTTGCCCTGATTGGGAATCTAACCAGCAAACTTTTGCTTTGCGGTAGGATGACCAATCCACTGAGCTACACCTGTTAGGGCTAAAAAAGAACTAACAAGCCTAATAAAAGATGCTTTCCAAAGGGGCATGAAAATATTCATTTGTATCAATGAGTAGCATTGGGGCTTATAATCCTACCATATATAATAAATTCTATTCCATTAGTATAGTTATTTTAAAAATAGGTACAGAAACATGATCGAAGGACTAAAGAAATAAGTGTATTGAAAAATCATCTCTTTTCTACTTTCTTAAAATTTGGTGAAAATATATATATATATATATTTGTTAAAGAGATACTGGATCCTTCTGGTTTAACTTTCATCAAGAATAAAGCCATTAAGTTCTCTTTAAATCTATTTTAGACTGACAATATATTTAATAACATAAGATATGGACCTATTAGACCATTGGGAGTCAGTGACTGACCAAAAAAAAATGCTATAACAATCTACTTATAAGTTATAAAGCATTAAATTAATTTGTTTTTCTAATTTAAGATTCATGATTTTGTCACTCAAAGCAAATCATTAATGGTAACCTCCGATTTCCTATCACATTATAAAAAGGAGACAATAAAGCTCTTATTTACAAATTTATCTGCCGCAAAGGCATTTGGGAATTGTTATTATAAAAAAAAAGTTTTGCTTCAGTCTGAACCATCAACCCATACCGTAAGCTGAGAGTAGACCTTTGAGATTACTAGTTACAGCCTAAATAACAAGAGAATTATATAGCCAGAATATGGAACTTATCTTAATCATTCATCATATCTTCACCAGACATGTATGTGGCCAATAGAATGGGGTTTCTGCTTTCCTCTCTCATTTATAGTGTATTTCATAACACGATATAAGTCACTGTGAAATGAAAAAAAAAACTGTATATAATAGAACTAAGGTTTAGCTCTACTAGTTTAAGACTTATAATTACTTGATTGCTCTGAAATATGTTCAGAGAGATTACCTGAAATTATTTCAGAGAAATCTGTCATTCTGTTAGATGCCTTGAGTTCTTAAATGCTATTGTACAGGTGTGCTAAAAAATTGTAATTTACTTCTTCCTTTATCTTCTTTCACCTTTACTTTAGCCATTGGAACATACATTCCTAGGTGTATGGAATACATAATATTAGGATATTAGACATAGTCCATACACCTAGGAATGTATGTTCCAATGGCAACACAATTAATAAAGATATGTTACTTGATTACCTACTAAGGGCAAGGAGTTTTCTATACATGTGGGTTAGTGAGCAAAAGCTTTATATAAGAGATGGGGCTTGAACCAGACCTTGAAAAGCAGTTAGAATTTAGATAGGTTTGGGAGGGGGAACTCATGCAAAAGTATTGGAATTCTCCAAATTTACTCCAATGTTTCTGGTAATAAAGTATTGTTGAATCACAGTGGCCTTTGTGTCATTAAAATAAAACTAATAAATTGAATTAGTTTTTTTTTAATCCTCAAACTTCAATTTTGTGTTTGAATTCTAACCAGACAACTTATATAAATTACCAAATTCAAATGACCTTTGTTGTGGCGCCACATATAAGATAAATCACACACACCTGTGTGTTTACCTTACTGTAGGGACATCTGACCCTTTCCTGTCATCCTCTGTATGTATTAGTATTATTTCCCTGATTTTGTTTTAGTCTTTAAATGATCTCTGTAACTTCCTTGAGATTCACTCAGGCTTCCTGTCCCTCAGTCCTTCAGCACTAGCAATGCTTTCTCATGTACTCTAATTTTTACTGGTTGCTGAATCTCCATATGAAATGTTACATACCTATCTTATTACTTTGCTGGACACCATATTAAAGATCAAAGGTAACACGCTCACATTCACATTCAAATCTGTTCTATCTAAAGACTAGTGCCTACAGTATGAAAAAAGTTAACCAATTCCCAAACAGAGGCAGTAGAATTTACTGCTGAACAGTATTGTCCCTGGAATCAAAACTGTCTGGTTTCAAGCTCGGTTTTGGTCAACTAATTTGAGTGGATTATTTTTGTGGTGCCTCAGTTTCCCCAACTGTAGACTACAGACATTAGTAGTAGATTCTCAAGGGATAGCTATAGGGCTTACATGAATAAAGACATGCAAATCTCTTAGAAAATAGTACATAGTAATTTTCAATAAATAATAACTATTATTATTTTTATGCCTCTTTTATGAAGAATAACTACTTGCTAACTTGGCTGAGTTTTCCTACCTTGATTATAAAAACGTGTACCTGAAAGAATTGAGTAAGTTTAATTGCTGAGAGACATGTTAGTTTTAAATAGACATAAAAAGATTTGAATAATGTTACATTTACTCATAAGCATTTACTAATGACTTTAAAGACAACAGTCACTTTCTTCCTATTTTCCAAGGGAGAGTGCAAATGCCGTCCCCCACGACCACAAATTGTGCAGTCAAGTTCTCCACATTTGGGAAAGTCGCAGGGGCCAGCACATCCCGAGTGTAATGGATAAACCTTGACCTGGGAAAACCAGCTTCATGATAATGGTATCCTCCCTGCCAGGTAAGTATGACAATTCATTTTCATAAAGATGAAAAGATAAAGAGAAGCCTAATTTTTCTTTGCTAATCTTCTCTACACATTAGTTGACATTGTCTTTGGTTTCAGCAGTATTTAATTTTCCTTTTTAAAATTATCATGGTGAGCCTACCACTGTATCTTGCATTATAATGCTGATTGAACTCTGAATACTCACCCCCATTTCCTCACTTCCAATAAAGCTGCTCCATTTTCTTTGGAAGCCTATATCCACTAATCTCCTTCATTCTTCCATGCTCAGCTAACCACCATGTTCAGGTTGCACTGAAGTGCTTTGAACTCCATGTTCTGCTTTCTCTACTGCACATTCCTTTCATTGGATATCTGCTCCATTTATTGTCTGCCAGATGATATCTTGTTAGTCACCTGGACTCGAATAATGAAAAATATATTTAAGAATTTAGGGTGATATAATGGCCACAGCTGACCACCTATGTTTTTCCACGTGCTGTTAAGAAACCCTGAGAGAGGACTGTAGTTGGGATGGAACTGGAAATGGGCTTATGAGAACATTTCATGGAAAATCAGTCAGAAGGGAACTGTGCTTATTTAAGTAACTAACTTTAAATGTATTAATAACTGTAGGCTGTCACAAAAGACACATTTTCCAATATATGAAAAATTAAAGAAGTTTCTACATGGAAGGCAAGGAACCAATTACAATACTGCAGAAAGAGAGGAAAAAATTGGGGATGAGATCTTCAGGATACAGAAAAAAATAGGATCCATTGTATGATGAAGTTAACTTTGGAGAAGAGGAGAGGTACTTATGTGTCTGAGGTGAAGCAAAAGAAGTAAAATAGAAGTCATAAAAGTTTAGATGTAGAGGAGAGATGAGCTAGTAAAGATATCTTCCTTATATACCATTTTAGCTTCTGTTTATCATGTGCACTGTGAAAGTGAGACTACTGAAATTAGGAGATATGAGAGTGGAATAGAGAAGTTGAGAAGAGTGGTGAAAATGTAGAACATGCATTTAGAAGTAAAAGAAAGTGAGTTAACATGTAAAATTAACATGCAAAAAGATTGCTAAGCAGTATTTGGGGCCCAGCTAAGTTGGAGACCATAAATGTGTAGTTTTGTTAGCTTTTCTCCATTAAAGCTCAGCAATCAGAATAGAAAATAAGATAGATCAGCCCAAAATAGTGGAGGTAAAAAGTGGCAGTAGAAGGACAATGAAGAGTGTGTATGGGAGATAACAAGAAACATTAACATGACTGGCATAAGGGTCACACTAGGAAGAAAATGAAGTGAAAACAAGAGAGGGTATTATAAATAAAAGCTTTTGGAAGGGCCCAGGTAATCTCGATGAGGTTGAGGAGTAATTTCAAGGGAAGTAGAGGTGAAGGAGAGCTACCTAACATCATAACCTGAGGGCAGTGTTTCTGAACTCAAATTGCAGAAATTGATGCATTTTATGTGTGTCCATCGGTCTCAAGCTGAGGACAGTTGAAAAAAGTCAAGAAATTATGAGGCTAGACTATTATTTGACAATCTTCATAGATAATGAAGTTTCCAGAGAATAGCAAGGTTAAAAATGTACAGTAAGAACCAGATGCGAGAAAGTTCAATGAAGGTGTAGACTGCAGAAACAAGAATTGTTGAAATGGTGTAAGCTTCAATAAAGGATTGTTCAATTAAAGTGGAAGGGACATATTCTAGAGTGTTGGAACTTAAACAAAAGAACTAGGAGGCTTTCAACAGTAACTTTTGCCCTTACATATGGAAAAGTAACAAGACTCATGAAGTGGGGAGAGATAGAGGATAAGAATTAATTTATTTCCCTTTGAGAGATGTATGAAGAAGTAGGAAAGCTTCTGTAGGACTAATATCAGTAGGAGAAATCCAGGTTTTGGTTACGACAAGATGATGAAGACAACCTTAAGTGAAAAGGTTGAGGGTCCCTACTTTCTAGTATATTGCTGTCCAATAGAACTTTCTGCAGTGATGGAGATGGACTATATCTGCACTGTCCCATAGGTAATCATTAGCCATATGTGGCTGTTGAGTATTTGTGATCGGTGAGACTGAGGGATTGAATTTATAAATTTATTCAATTTCAATTAATTTAAATTGAAATTTAGATAGCCACACGTGATTGGTGGTTATTGTATTGGACAGTATAGTTCCGAAGTCATTCTGATGATTGTCAGTAAAGTTACACTTAGTTATTACTAGGTAATGATAAAAATGTTACCTTTCTAAGTAGGTATCTATACTTAAAGGAGACAATGACTAAGATTAAAGGAGGAAATTCCTGAATAATGAATGTCAAGTGTTGTGGAAAACCATGAAGGCTATTTGTTTGGGGGCCAAAAGGCCTTTCTAGTCCTTTCTAAATTAGACCATGTAAGAGATCATCTATGAATAAGGTTAACCTTAATTAACAGGATTACTTTATTAAATGTCAGCTACATGTACAATGTTGTAATAAGCAAGTGTCTTAGTAAACTGCAGATGGCACATACTTAAACACAGTTAAAAGGAAGAAAGAAGGAATAGATAGGATGAAGTAGAGATGTTGGGTACTGGGAGGCAAAATATAATTAAGATTCCAGCTCGTGTGCTTCTTATTCAACATCCTGCTTTCATTGTATCATTTGTGCATTAAAATGTCAGAAGTGACTGCCAAAAGACTTCCTGCATGTGAGCACTAATATTGAATCTGCTAGTGATTGGCTAAATAATGGTGCAGTTTAACCTCTTGATCAGTTTTAATGTTATTTGTTTAAAATGGAGATTACTGGGCTGTTTTTGCAGCAATGTTCTCAGTATATAAGGAAGCCTTAAAACGTTTTGAGGGAAGGAAGTGATGGTGCGAAAGACTGATGTAACACTCATGAAGCTGGTGATTGATGGTTTCTTTCTGAGATTCAAAGTACAGAGGTTGTAGATGAAATAACATAGGTTATCCTGGAACAGTGACAAATTAATGCTGCTACTACTACTACTACTACTAATGATAATAATAAAGAAGGTTTTGTGCACTAATTTTAAGTTTTTATAATGCTTAATGTCCATGTGTTTTACAACAATCAAATGAGGTTAGTATATTACTATATTAATATGTAATACAATATATTATGTTACAATAAGATAATGTTATTAATGTCAAATTATGATCAGGTTTTCCTAGTTTTCTCATGGCTATACAAGTTGTTAGTGGGAAGTAATTTACTATTTCCTCTGCTAAACACACTAAGCTTTACCAGATGCTCTACTAAAATAATCTCAGTATTAGTGCTGTATATTCTTATTTTGTGAGGTATTTCATGGCTCAAAAGGTAAGGTGGTAAGAGGTTCTTTAATGATAGTGGCTAATTAATCTGAAGTTTCTGGAGCAGTTATAACTTGGGGCTTATTTGGTAGCAGGCTCAGAGAGCAGTTGCCTTCTTCAATCTCAGGCCTTGAACAATTTAATGAGTAGCAAAGAATACTTAACGTTGATTACTGATAAGCTGCCTCTCACATTTCATTTTAATTTTTGTGTTTCCTTTAGTTGGAGAGAAATAACTTTTACTTGAAGGAAATAAATGGAACAATAAAATAATTGAGGTTTGATGCAGGCTTCAGATTATTGTTTAGGAATTTACCAGCTAAATGCAGAAATATTCCTAAATAATTAAATTCCAAACAGTAGTGATAATCCTGCAAATCTAACAAGATTTTAGAATTTATTTTCCAAAGAGGAAGTCTATCTGTAAACCACTGTGAGTGAGATGCCCCTGTTGCTTCAACCCTTAATGGGTTAAAGAGATGTTTATATAAAAGATGTTAGGTTTTTTTCTATTTTACTGTTAATACTAAAGAAACAAACATGTTCATCCCATGTAGACTTAAAAACACAAAGAAATATTTCTTATCCTACTGCCTTAAATTAATCTAGAAAAATACCTTGAGAAATGAAAAGGAAATCATGCAATACTACCAGTAAAATATCAGTATCTTCCTCTTCATAGGCTTGCTATGAAGACCATGTGAAATAATATATATATGTAATGCTCTTAGCTCCATTCTTGGCAGTCAGTACGTTTGCAAAAATGTTAGTTCTTACCTCTTTTCGCATGAATTAATACTGCACTAAAGCCTGTCATGTTATTATCTGAAAAAGTCATCACCATCATCTATGACAGCTCTAGTTTTAGACCTATTGAGAAAGCATAGGAAGGGTTAATAACCCTCTCTAGATTATGCAGATAGGAAAGTACTGTCAGTGTTGGCTTAAGCACCCCAAATCCTACCTTGACTTTGCAATCACAAGCCTTATCCACCTTCCACATATCAGGACTTGCGTTCGGCTTGTTGCTGTAGATGATAAAAGCTATTAGAAAAGAAACTGTGTGGATAAAACAAATAGTTTATTTTCTCCCCTGAGGGATCAGAAGAACATATTTAGGGAATGAAAAATTTAATTAACTATTCTATAACCCACTTCCTCAAAATATAGGAAAACATTTCACTCTTCCTACCCAGGAAGGGAGGGGTAGATGACTCCCAAAACTCAAGGTGTCATGGTGCAAATAAATTATACTCTTCCAAAAGGATTATAGTCAGTGTGACTTAAACACTGCAAAAGAAATGCAATCATCATAGGAGAAATCATTTTTTTCAGTAGGAGTGTCAATTGGTCGTTTTTATTGTGTCCACTCATATGTAGTCAACTACAATAACCTTGTTTCTACTGTGTTCATATTTTGATGGTCAGAATGATTGATATGTAAACTTAATAAAAATATACACTCTGGAATCCAGATGTCTTTTGCACCACTGTGTGTGTGAGGTCACAAATGTCTGCAAACTGGGGAGCTTAGAGCTTACTCACTGTGCAGCGTTTCCCCCCACTCCAATCATTTTAGCTCAGTGCCATTACTTCCTAGAGCAAAGTTCTCTTGGTCAGCCTGCTGGAAAGGTATGTCGTGAGAGGTATATGAACTTAACGGCTCAGCAATCAGAGGCTTCCTTGCATGGGATT